TAATCGGTTCCCCCTCTCCAACCCACCCTCTCTCCACCCTCCCAGTATCGCCACTCACACCACTGGTCCTGTAGGGATCATGCTCACTTCTAAGGAGCACTCTGGTTGTACTTCTTCCAAGATGGATTTGTGTGTTCTTCTGGCAGTCCATGGTACTTTCACCATTCCTTGCCACCACCATAATTCAAATGTATCAATCTTTCTGTGGTTTTCCTTACTCACTTCCAACTTTCATATACATATGAAGCGACTGAAAATATCTTAGTTCTCAAAGTGGCATCCTTGCTCTTCAACACTTTAAAAAGGTCTTGTGCAACAGATTTTACCAATACAATATATCCTTTGATTTCTTTACTGCTGCTTCCATAAGCATTGATTGTGGATCCAAACAAAAGGAAATCCTTTACAACTTCATTCCTCATTCTTGGTTCTGTTGTAAGGATTTGAGTTTTCTTTACATGGAGGTGAAAACCATAAGGAAGGCTGAAATCCTGGATCTTCATCAGCAAGTACTTCAAAAGTCCCTCTTGCTTTCAGAAGGTAAGGTTGTATCAGCTAAATAAGGCTTGTTGTTAATAATTCTTCCAATCCTGATACTGTATTTTTTTTCAAGAATTACTTGCACAGCATACAGATTGAAGGATATTGTAAAAGGATACAACCCTGACGCATACCTTTACTGATGTTAAGCCATGTAATATTCCATTGTTCTGTTCACACCACTGCCTCTTGATCCATATACAGGTACCGCATGGGCACGATGAAGTGTTCCAAAATTCCCATTCTTCTCAAGGCTATCCACAGTATATTGTGATCCACACAGTCAAATGTAAAACACCGATAAACATCATTCTGGTATTCTCAGCTTTCAACAAGATCCATCTGATATCAGTAATGATATCCCTCATTCCATGTCCCACTCTGAATCCAAATTGAATTTCTGCACCTGCCTATTGATGTACTGCTGCAACCATTGTTGGGTTATTTTCTCTATATTTTTACTTGCATGTGATATTAATGGTATTATTCAAAAATTTATGTACTCTATTGGGTTACCTTTCTTTGTCATTGGTACAAATATGGATCTCTTCCCACTATTTGGTCAGGTAGTTGTCTTCCAACTTTCTTGGCATAGATTAGTGAATGATTTCAATGCTTCATCAGCTTGTTGAAACATTGCAGTCAGTATTCATTCAATTCCTGGAGCCGGTTTTCTGTTAGTGTTTTCAGGACAACTTGGATATCTTCCCTCAGAACCACTGGTTCTTGATTATAGACTACCTCTTGACCTTGTTGAATGTGGATCAATTCTTTTTAGTGATGCTACACCAAAGAATAATGATGAATCTGCAAAATACCTCATAACATAGGTAAAGTGGAGGATGTTAAGCAGTGTGAAATTAGTCAAGAAAAGGACACATTTTGTATGGAATCGCTATTTAAAATGTCAAGAAAAGATTTTTACACTAAAAATAAACATATTTTGATGGTTACTAGGAGTAGGAAGTCCCCCTAGTGTGGGACTTCGGTGTGAACTTGGGTAAGGGAGAAATTGGCAGAGGCAAGAGAAGACTCTAGGAGGCGTGCAAAAGTTAAAGGCAGGAGAAGAAGACACTACTGTGTACAGAGAGTCCTGCAGTCACAGTGATCTTCG